GGCTGTTGTAATCCGGTAAGTGACTAATGGCCCCAGTATGAATACAGTTACCTGGGTGTAAACTTAATTCTTTTGAAGTCTCTGATTTTGTTTCCTGCACTCCTATTATTGCCTTCACACAGTGGTGTTTCCAGGCTTGTAAGGGTTCCTATGGCAAAACCTTCCAGCCTAGATAAGCCCTGGAAGGTTAAAGTCATTTCAACGTTTCTTTTGAGGCAATTACACAATGGGCCTTGAGCTCCCTGCCAAATGCTACTTTTTTACGCAGTTGGTGATGGGAGTGGAGCGAGCCAAGTATTGCAAACCTCTGACACAGATGAGTGCATGTTAGCAGTTGGTGAATGACAGACCAGAGATCAGCCAGAAAAGTTTCAAACTATATACGGATATATATAGCCTGACTTTGCTAATGCTTTCTACTTCCAACTCCTACTTTTATCCCAAGATCAGATAACGAGTAGCACTTTTTCTTTGTAACAATTCATTAATCAGAGAAATGATCCTTGCTAGTGTTTAGATGTTTTACTTAATTTGGTACTTCTGGCCCGCTGCCCCAGTAGTGCCAAAATTATTATTTCTCACCCAGCAGGTGATAAATAACAACTTCAGTCATGATTAATACCATGAATTTCTCAACCTGACTAATGCAAAAAACTTCAAACCTGCAGAACAAGTGGGTGCTAATTGTTGTGAGAGCCATTGGAGCTGCACTCTGCTTGTAAAGAAAGAAAGCCACAGGAAATGAAGCGTTTTCTAGCAGCACAGCTGATCCTAAGAGGCATCATTAAGTGCAGCTCAGCAGCATTCTCCATGTGCAGGTCTGTGCTAGGCTCTTTTTTTTCCACAACACTGAGCTTTAAGCACATTTGAGAAGCAGGAGATTGCCATGTTATTTTTCTTTCCTTGGGGTGGGGGGTAATAAAACAAAAGGCAGAGAAAATAGCAGATTAATATCTTATTAATAGCTTATTAACACCACTCAAATACTATAATTTTTACTAACTGATATGTGCAGACTGATACATCCTAGCAAAAGCTGCTACCACTGAAGCTCCTTCACATAATGTCTGTCTTGAAATTTCATCATAACATCATAAAGTGTAGCATCAGACATTCCCCAGTCAAGGAGAGCTTTTTTCAGAAAGGGACAAGAAAACCAGGGGCTCAGGAGGGGCTGTCAGCTGGAAACAATGATCCAATCCTATAAATTAGCCTGTGGCTGAAAGCCTGGCGGCTTCTGAGTCACAAACTGGTTTGCCACACCCTGTGCTGGAAGAGGGTGGTTGCTCCATTTTCTGTGCTGTACATGCAGTGGCATGGGCTACACCGAATCCACAGTTAGCTGTGGATCCAGTGCGGTGCTGGTCAGGCAAATGAGACCTCCACAACATCTGGAATTGGCACCACGTATTTCTGGTAGGAGCAGACACCAAAATCCAGCAAGGACACGACCAGGTAACTGTGCTGAGTGGGATTAGTCCCTTCCACAACCCCAGAGAATCATCTTGGGAGCGGAGGAGCAGTCCTGTTTTCACCAGAACTTTCCCAACTGTTTTAGCTCCATCAGGCAAGGAAAGCAGCTGCTACTTTCCAACTAGCATTGAGCATCTCCATATGAAGCTATTAATTTGTGGAACAAAAAGACTACAAGAAGCAAACTACCATGGGTAAGTGATTTATACGTTGTTCAGATTCAGTAATATCTATTCACTTGTAGTTATGAGCTTTTATGACTCTGTGTACTATTTTGGTTGAGTGACTCCTGCAGCTCCTGGTGGGGCATATTTGGAGGATAAGCCACGGTGCAGCTGGTCCTGACATTCTCTCTGTTAGAAATCTAATTTTTGTCTTAATTTTGGGACACAAAAGAAGTTCCAGCTGTCTGCTTCACCCAAATTAGCCTCTGGGAGCTTGGGATTTTTGAGCTTGAAAAACTAGGAAAGAAAATCACTATCCACCCTGCCCTGCTCCATGAAACAGACCATCGGCCTTCCTGGCCTGATTCCTGCCTCTGGGGCAGCAGTTGTGCTTCTGTCATGGGAGATCTTCTAGAAAAACACACAGCCCAAGAGCAGAATTCTCACAGACTGCACTGGCACAGCCTTGGCTCCTGGAGAGCCACTCAGACCAATAGCGAGCCCTCTTCACTTGGCCGTGGATAAGGCAGCTTGGTTGACTTGCTCAGCTCGCTTGCTAGAAACGTTTCTGGGTTTGGGTTGGTTTCATTTTTTTCGACCCTTAACTGGTTTTATCACCGGTCTTGTTTCAACTTTTCGTTCTTTTTCGTGAGCTGTGCACAGCATTTCAGGAGCAATCAGTATCAGTGTCCTTTCAGCATCAGTGTCCTTCATAGGCCTGCAGCTTCCCAGAGTTAAAGCCTGCCTTACAAGCTTTGGTCCTCAGTGCTCAGTCCAGTCTGCTCCGTAGCAGTGCCATGCTAGCAATGTAAGTTAAAAAAAAGCATAATGGCTTTTTAATATCTATGAAGTACAATGTATGTCCTTTGTCTAGGATTTTAATAGCTGTTTTCAACAGATGGCAAAGCCACGATTTTCCTTGTAGTTACAAGTTTAGGTATTGCCTAGAATGAGATGCAGCCTGAAGTACAAACCAGCCCTGTGGCAAACGTGCTGTATAGAAAGGACGCTCTTCAGTCAAGGCAGTAAGGAATGATTTTTCCCCCTTAAATTTTGGTTTACTAAGTTATCAGTCACACACAAGGACCAAGGGGTGGTTAAGCTTTCAGAAACTATTCAGTTTAGCTTCCAGAGCTCAGTCTCTGCTTGTCCTCTCACTTCAATGTTGAAAAATCTGTGTAATTTGCCTGTCTGTATCCTTAAATGCAGTGTCTGAGTAGCTCAGGTGGATTTACACAAACTTTTGATCAGTATCTTTTGCCAAACCACTGCCACAGCATTTATTTTCTAGATGAGACCTTCAAAATGGGTTTATGTATCTGGCTACCTCTGTGCGGTTGTTTTTATCCTCTGAAATTACAAAGCTTGCCATATGTTACCACACAAAATTTGTAGTAACTAGCTGTTCAGCATTCAGAGTGGCGTATTACCAGTGCTTACTCTGCCTCACAGAACCTTGACAAAATAGAAAATCATGGTTTAGTTCAATGTGGTTTCAAAGCAATTGCTAAAATTTGGCTACAGGGTGGCTAATGGCCACCGCAGCCTTGAAAGAGGAGGAATACATGCTCACTTGCACTTTTTCAGGCTGCATGTAAATTAATGTCTGTGCATAGATGAGTTTGGAAATCCATTACATAAATTATTGCTATAGTTCAGTCTACTGGTAGCGGAATAACTGCCAAAACCACAGAAGCTAGGTTAAAATCTTTACTTATGAATGGTGCTCTGTAAATAGCAGGAAGTAAAAGGCAAGTTTAATTGCTCTGGATTAAGATACTTCAGTTTTCACACAGGATTTCCCCAGCACCGTGGCACTGATAGCTTTAGAAACTGAGAGTGTTTTTCTCTCAAAGTAGTGTATATCATAATATTCTCTCCAAACTAAGAGGAAACCCCACAACAAATTATTTTCCAGTTTTTTCCAGAAGTTGCATTAGTGCAGAAAAGCAGGTTTGAAAGAAGTATCTGGGTTCTCAGCTACCGACCCCTTCGATTGATAGCAGAAACTGTCACTAAGCAGTCAAGAGCTGATGGGTTTTAGTTTGTAAAGATATTCAACATACACATGTGAAATTTTAAAATTGAAATGCAGGACAAGGGCAATTTTCTTCTCCTAGCAAGGGTGATTTGATAAAATGCCAAGACTCCTTACACATTGATACTTACATGGATTTGACTCCAGTAGGATTCCTGTATCAAAAAGCAGGCAGCAAGAATTCAGCTCCACTTTCCAGTCGAGCTGGCAAGAGCGGTCCCCCGCAGCAGGAGCGAGTAAGCAGTAGTGGTTCATGAGCCATGGAGCCGAGGGAGACCTGGCCAGTCCGAGGTACACAGCTCTTTCTGTTCAGCTTTTCAAACAGAAGGAAATGGCTGCTGAGATTCGCACAACCATTGCATAACCAGTCCAAGCCATTAAATATTTTGACACTGAGGAGTATAGTCAAAAGAACGTATTTCATACTAAGAAAACACAACGGTTCCAGCTAGCCAAACAGCCTGAGCTGGTTCCCAGCTGCACCCAGGACTTCCCCAGTGCACAAGGGCTGTTTTTGCCACCAGCACATTCCTGGGGCTGTCAGTGCTTTAGGAAAAGCATCAAGTACAACTGATAAAGCAGAACAGAGTGGTGCCATTTAGCGTGTTCAAAGAAATACTAGTCAGATCGAGTCCTTGCCCACACACAGAAACTCTCCCTTGAAAAGTTCCACATTGCCAGGGTTTTTGGAGCACCACAAGATTTTTTTCGTTTACTGCTGTTATTGTCCCTACATGTACTATAGGATAATCGGGAGGCGGAATGACCAAGGCCTGTCAGTCACAGGCTCATACTAAGTCCTTCTGCTACAAGACCTGCCCCAGCGAGTACGTCAAAGTTCAGAAGCAACATTAACACACTGGAAGTAGAAACAGTGAGACAGACACTTAGCTAGCAAATTCATTTCTTAAAGCGCAAGACAAACTGAGAATTAAAACTGGGAAATCATAGGAAGAAAAAAAATAAAGTGTAAATCCAAAAACCAATGGTGAACAAGAAATAAAAGCAGAGGCAGGACACACATAAGAAGTAGTAATGACAGCCAGGAGCTACTTTGACACAAAATAAGAGCTGACTGAAAAAAATCCCATCACTCGGGTGCTGCAGAGCTCCAAGACATTTCTGTCACCCAATTTCTGAATGAATTTTGGCTGAGGCAGGCAAACTTAAGATCTCTAATGAGTCCTTTCATTCCTAGCTTAACAGTTCTAACTAGTTTACCACACAACTGTCTTCCTGCCAACAAGATCCCACTCGTTAACTACATAGACATTAATTACACAGACATAAAAGTTAGTAAGAAAGGCATTTAGAAAGATCAGAGACACATTTTAAAGTATTTTATTTTTTAATACAGATACAATATTTTTCCAAGGTCACTTCAGAGTAAGTGACATACAGGCTATTAAAAGGGAAGTGCCCACACAGTCATCTCAAGTTAAATGTGCACAGTATATTCTACAACACAAAAAAACTGCATTTAGAGTTTTTTCTTGCTCCAGAATGATTTGGCAGCTTCAGTAAGCGAACACACATTTCCATTCTCAAAATTGGTTAACTGAACAACAAAACCCAAAACTGAAATGCAATCCACCCCAGCCACCAACCACCACGCTTATCTCAGTAAGGACCTCTTGGCAGAGCGGGCTGCAACAGTGGTGGAGCTGTCTTTATCATGACCCTCAAAGTACTGCTGCTCTATTCGCCGACAAAAGGCTGTGAGGTTACTGTAGTTTTTCACCTTTTCAGAGAGTTCATCAGTGGTTAGTTGAGTAGTAAGGATTGTGAACAGATGTCCAAATACCAGAGCATCTAATTCAGTTGGTCTGTAAAAGCAAACAGAAAAGACAACAGGTATTTTGGAAGGCAGGCCCTGATCAAGAAAAACCTTGCTGTTCTGACTAAATTTTAGATAGTCATGCAACCTAAGAATTTGGAAGAAAAAAAGGCAACACTGAACAAATGCATGAGAAGTGTGCATACAATATATAAGCATACTGCTAGTTCTCAGTATGGCACCCTTTGCTTTTGGTAGCTTGGAACTGTGGAAATAACACTTCCTAGATTGGGCAGACTTACTGACCCAGTATCAAATCATGCTCCACGTTTTAGTTCCATAACAAGAGCAAATGCTTACCAGGTCTTTTGGGGGATTTTCTTTTTTCTCTGCAGATATTTATTAAAAAAAAAAAAAAAAAAAAAAAAAACAGCTATTATCTTACAAAGACAAAAAAAAAAAGAAAGAGAGGGGAAAAAAAAAAAAAAAAAGGCATAAAACCCCTATTCCTTTTTTGTATTTTTCAGTAGTCAGGAACTATTCAGCCAATAAGAAAAGTAGCTCCAGGGTGACAGCAGCTGGAAACATCCCCTTTTTGAAAAGGGACTACATGGAAGAAAACAAATATTGTGAGAAACAGTGGTCTATTGAATATTTTCAGTCCTACCTTATTTTAGGTAAAAGCCTTCTGAACTGTCATCTTGGACCTTTGCATATAGGTGGCCCACATGCAAATAATTTTTTTTTCAAATATATTAATAACTTAATAGTCCTTTTTTACTAGTGTTCAAAGTAACCAGCATGAGGGTTTTCTGACTGATAATTTTTTTGCCTTTCTATTTGTGGATCACAAAGAACTCTCCAGTGGAAATGTGGACCCTTGTATAACAAACTTAAATCTGTCAGCAACAGGCTGCTTTTCTTATTCACCTCCTACAGACTCCCAGAAGTTACAGACTGAAAAATACTGGACTAAGAACACATATTTTCTTAGTAATATTTCAGACAGCTACTGTGTTTAAGAATTATTTGAGAAGATGCAGTTCAAATTTGTCTTCTGTAATGCATATTTCTGTATCCACTCAATTTACACTTCCCACCTCGTCCCAACTTGGGAAAGATTAAGGGGCAAAGACATGCAGAAAAGTAACCAAGACCATATGCTGCCTTTTGAAGACATGTCTCTGTCCGAATGTAGTTAACTGAAGTCCAGACCTGAGCATTTCTAGTCTGGTCTATGCACAGGAGACAAGAGGGAGCTAATGTGATGTTATCTAAATCCGTAACATTTCAAAAATACTGAATTATTAGAGAGGGAAATAAAAGTGTTTTGCAGTTGGAAGAAACTGGTGAAAGCAGAGGACATCCCATGAAGACAAATGGTTGTTCATTTTTTCTCCCCTGGGAATGTGAATCTTAGTTTTCACTTTGCAACTGATCCCTTGTTGATAACAAGGCTAGCTTCTCCCCCAGTTCCTACAACTCACAGACACCCTCACGCTAATTCAGTTCAGTCAGAATTGCCCCTGGACTTAAGCAGGGCAAGATGAGCTGTCCTGGTGAGGACAGCACGACGTACCTTCACGCCCCTGTACCTAGTAGAGAATGCTACTGAAGAAATACAAGCTTTAAATGTACAATTGTTAATAAGAAATTTACTGTATAAAGGTGCACATTTGTAGCCTACATAAATTGTGGTAGACTGTAGAGAAGACAAACAGGAGTAAAACTAAATCATAAATAGAAAAAAACCTTCCTTTTAAAACCTCCAATTACTTACTTCTGAAATTTCGTGTTTATTTTTCAGTTGCGCGTTTGTATTTCTGCAGCTAATCACATAGCATTAAAATAAAACAGGTGTTTTCCATATATATATATATATATATGTATGTATGTGGATATGTATCTGTATCTCACATTCCTGGATGTAATATTTCAGTAGAGAGTAACTTACTGCTTATTGAAGAAATATGGTTGTGTTCCTAATCTCTGGGAGAGAGCCTGACAACACTGATCTACGTCTTCAAGCACCTATCAAAACACACAAGAGATAAAAGATCCGTATTGTCAGGAAATACCAACACTGCAAAGAACGACCTCCTTACTCTGTTTGCGCTGGCGGTGGGAACAAGGAACATCCGATGCTGGAACATCAAAAGCTGTTAGTCAGTCAAACCCACACAGCGGGCAGGTAGCTAAGTGTTACTTAATCCAACATTTGATGCAAGGCAATTCTGAATAAGCGCTTCCCATAACATTTATAACTTAGCTTAATGAAAGGTACTAACTTATACCTCAAAACTGCTTTGCCCTTTTTTTTTTTTAATGACCTCTGACAAGGGAAGCCGCGGTCCTGCAGAGTGTGCCTATTAACACTGCACAGGAACTGGGGGCCATAACTTACAACCTATTTTCAGGACTATGGCCTAAACTAACATCACCAGAGAAGTACACTCATGGTAAAACATCCTTCCTCCCACCCCACGGGGTTGCATATAATTTAAGATTTATTGCTGCTGAAAGGCAAATACCTGACTCCAGATAATGTTTTAAGTACAGAATATATTTTTTACTGCACCTGTTTCAGGAAAAGTGTTACTGTCCAAAGCCTTTAAACAAAAAAACAGCCAGGTAAATAAGCAAGCCTCACTTTTCATACTAACCTGTTCGAGTGTCTTTCCAGCCCATCCAATGGCTTTCATCTTTCGCCTTACCTCCCACTGCTTCTGATAGGACAAAATGCGGTTAAGAGGCCACGGGTAAGGGGAGCCATACCTTGGGTGCGTAATCTTTGTTTAGAAACAGAAAAGTACTGTGTTATCATATAAGAAATACAGATCTCTATGCACAAAATAGCTAGTATTCAAACCTTTCTATCAGAAAAGGAGCTATAAAAGAGAAAGGGTGTTGTGTGACATGCTGTAATTATTTGTGCAGAACTTATTGTTTATAGCATAACCATTTAAAACTATTACTTCAGAAGCACATACAAAACCCGTACCTATTCTGCAGTCAGCTATCTCCAGTAATGACACAACTTCCTTAAAATGTATATGCAAGCGAAATCAAAGTGAAAAGGCTGTATCATTAATGGTATCAACCTCAATGTTTCATTTATGAGTAGGGACTTGCAATTGTGAGCAAAAGTGTTTTCTCATTAAATTTTAATTAAGATAAATGCTGCAGAACCACTCACCTCCTCTACTGTAACATCATCACACCATTGGAGATAGAGCTAGGAACAGAAAGAACACTTACTAAAACTTCCTAATAAAGGAGAATACAGACACAGTCATTTCTCAGTAGTAGAATTTTATTTTCCATATTAGATTAAATTTCCATTTCATTCCTTCTGTTAGACCTCTCAATGTAGACAAGAAATTAAAGCTGGAAGGCAAGAGCCCAGTTGCTAGTCCTTACTTCACCAGCAGCAGGACCGCTGCCCCCGCAGCACACCGCGCAGCCCACCGGTGACCAGCTTGCAGCGCCACAGCCACCCGCAGCTCACCAGCCTTTCCAACACCGCTCCCACACTGGGACTGTCACGTTAACTGGCCACGGACACGAACTGCAGGAGATCCCAGCCTCCCACCCGGCACGTGAGCACGCACACTGCGGGGGGGGGCAGCGGGTGCCCAGGCAGCATCCCCAGCACCACAGGCATTTTCCAGTCAGTTACTTCTACAGCTACATGACACACCTCAGTGAGGTGAGGGGAATCATACCCGTGGCTTGTGTCTACAAGAACATTACAGCAAGCAATCCACAAGGTTCAGAGAATTTATTCCTGCCTCCTTGCACCTCAAAAATTGACAACCTAATCTAAGAACATGCAGTATTTCCAATATAGGGAAAAATTCTAAAGCTTTCTTGCCTATAGTCACTTATGTAAGCGTGTGGAGTTACTACGGTTTGCTGTACCTCTGCTGTCAAGAGCATATTATTGACTAATTCCATGTAGGCTTTCATCTCAGCTTTTTGGACTTCATCCAACCCATCACTGAGAGAATGGCCCTAATGGGGAAAAGAAAAAAAAAAAGACACATATGTAAGAAAGGATATTGGACTATTCAGCAATGCCTGACCCAAGGACCTCTGAAGTCAATGAGCTTTGGCTCAGATCCTGATCGCTTATGTAGTTCAATAACAAATTGCATAGGCAATTTTTACATACAGTATCCTTTAATGAGAGATCACTGTAACATAGCATAGCTAATCTACAAGAAATGTAGACTATGATCAGTTATAGATGAACACAGTTTGAGCACATAGCCTCCTGGTTAGTGTATCCCTGTGGCAAGAAGTAAACACAAATTTACATCTGTGATACATCTTTATCAACTGCTCAGTGAAGATGCAGTATTTTAAAGTACTGGGGGCACGAGGGGGAGCAAAGGCAAATTTGAACAGTGTCTGACACTTCAGGACTTAAACCAGTCAGTTCTGGGATTAAAGAGCTCTGAGACTCAGAGACAGGGTACACAGAAAAGCAGTCTCAGAAACTGGCACTGGTATGCAACTATCCTGCACAGAATTTACTTCCAGAATTTGAATAAACGACAAAGAACATTTCCACCTCAACAAACTCCTACTCCAGGATATCCTTCTTTTTAAATGGCACTAAATTTATATACTGTTTTAACAAATTAAGTAACATTCCAGAAGAGCACACCAAATCCGCACAGTGCTAAACAGGATTAACATGCTATCCACTAACTGATAAAAACAATGTGTTATTACCTTGGCTTTTACAAACTGGACTATGGGCCCAAGTTCAGATACGACTTGATTTCCCACATGAATAAAGGGTACTTTGCCTGTAAAATGAGAAATGTATTTTAGTAAGAGCTTCTTATACCCATAAAACATAATTTACAATTTTTAAAGTGATTAAATATGGCGGGTACACCTGAACAGCAGTAGGGTTTTTTTTTTTTTTTCAAATCAGCACATGTAAAGCTCTAACATACATAGCTCACCCAGTAAACATCTGTAATAACAAACATCTTTCTTCTGATCTTCCTCCTCCAGAACCTCTTTTCTACATGCAATACTTGCAATTGTGAATTTCGAAGTTATTGAGTGAGATCTATCGACTTGTATTTTTTGCTTTGCTGGAAAGACTTAATTCAATGTTTCTCTGAAGTACAGCTGGGAAATCCTAGGAAAGCAGACAGAGCCCTTGGCTAGTTTTACGACAGAGTGTGTTCCCACCCTCCCTCCTAACCCACTGGCAGGGAAAGGGCTGCTGAGAGGATGACAGGAGATGTGGCACTGCGCCCAGGAAAGCGCAAACGCACACTCAGCAAGGCAGGGCCTTGCCTCCTTCCTCTGGTCCTTCAGATTTCCAACGAGTGGGCCAGCCGGCTCCTGTGGTTCCTGAGAGCTCTTTAGTTGTGAGCTGGCATTTTCGAGCCCCCCATGGTCTTGGGGTCAGCAAGAGGTTCATCGTATGAGGCCCACAGCTTCACGATCTGTGGGGCTGGGAGGGAGAAGGAGCTGCTTCATCATCATGGAAGCAAAATGGGGTTAAAGCTCAGTACTAGTAAGGCTCAACATTCAGTCTCTGAAGCTGAGCCCTGAGGGTCTAGCCTGGAACAGGACTAAAAACAGCTAGTCCTCAAAAGGCGACTGGGAAAAGACTGTGTCACTGGTGGAACTCCTGGGGGTGTGAAGGGCTCCCAAGTCTGTACGCACCACCTTCTCTGCTCGGTAACTTTTCTTACACACAGAACTGAGCCAAAGCTTTAAGGCAGGCAGAGATACAAGAGGAAGCCCTGCTACACACAGCAAGACACGACACATGGCAGGAGTTGCCTTGTGCCCCTTTTCCCAGCTCACAGTATGTGAAGCTGACGGCTACTGCTCCAACCCACCCTAACCAGGTCGCTTGCCCTGCAAATACTCATCCAAGTGCAACTGACAAACATCAGCTTTATACTTAAAACTAAATCTCTGAGTATTACCTACCTGATTGAAATAATCCATGAAATGGTGATAAATGTTGCATGTTTTATATTGCTGAAAACATCCTCAAGCCCAAAGGCAGTGAACGAGCCTGCCCAGTGCAGCAGGGCACAGCATCCTTTTACCTCCCCACCTCTACTCTGCTCTCGTCAGACAGCCCAAAGAGCAAGACCAGTACCTGCCTGACTCCAAATATGTTATTAGCAATACATTCACTCTTTCCACTGAAACACCAAATAAAACCCTGTTTGGCCTAGCTCAAACACTGTTCATGCTAACAGCAGATTCAGTCATGGTTTTTATCATGAGATTCACTTCTCACCGGCTTGATCAGCCTAAGGGTAATAAATGAAGTGCACTGCACCAACAAAGGCTTCATCTGCACCCACATGCCGCATGTTGTGGAAGGAAACGCAGACTTCTCTGTGCTGCAGAATTCAGTGATTTCAGTCAGGCTGTATTTCACACACCAAGACAAACCTTTGGTATCATACTTTTGACTCCCTCAGAATAGGTTGCGTCATCACAACAATTACGAGATTAAATAACCTTCCCCCCCAACATGGTAAGATTCAGATCCTTGGCTGCTGCGAGACAGAGGGTGGTAGGGAGGAAGAAGGAAACAAATTAAAACCTTGTTGGAATCATCATTAAAGAACCAATATAAAGGAAGGAAATGGGGCAAGTGAACAAAAATAATGACTCCAGGAGCAAGGGCTAAAATAATACATGTATTTCTACCTACTCTACCTTAAAATTGAAGCAGAATCGTTTTTCCTCTTGTGCTCCTTGTTTTCAGCAGAAGGAAGTGTTCAGACCCAAATTACAACATCAGATGCCAGCAACTGTGGACATGGGGTGCGAGCGGCAGAGAAGCAAGAGCGTGCAACTGTCACCAGTCCTACTCCTGCGTATGCAAGATGCTCCTCTGTGCATGGATTCAGCATTTCAAAGCTACCTTTATTTACTAATGAATAATTTATATACCTCCATATTTTGCTGTTTTTAAACTGCTGCCAAGCAACTGTTTTTTTAAAAATAGCATCATTCCACTGCTTTGACCAAAATATTGGTAGCAGCAGCAGAACCCATACAGCTGGCAGACATATACTGACAGGCACTTTCATGTGGCAGTCATCATCCAAGCCAGGTAAGCGGTAAATAAATACCTCCTCACTCAACAGAAATCTGGGACAGAGTGCAAGAATCGCCAGACTTCTGCACCCTGCATTCAGCAATTCTCTCTGATTTTTAGGCAACCTTCTGAAGCCAGCCTCTGGACACTTTTAGGCAACCAGTCACCTCCAGCAAAAGGTAGGCTCTGTACCCTTCTAATACTTCATTGTATTGTTGGTGGGTTTAGATTCTTTTCCAGTCTCACGGATCAGAGGAAGATTTAAAATTGTCTGTCACCCTTAACAGTAACAATGCACCCTGCAGCCTTCTCCTGTATCAGCATCCTGGCAATCATCTCCCAGAGAGGGTAACAAAAGATAATCTGTCTCCACTGTTGTCTGATCTCAGCAATGGGAAAATGTAACAGCATTCACTGGAGTATTCCCTGGATGCAGAATAAAACCACTTTTGGAAACCTATGTCTTTCTGCTTCAGGACACAGCCACTCTTAGGCATTTGAGAGGAGGTTTCCACCAGGCATTCTGAACTGTCTGAATGCCTTGTACAGGTTCTGCACTGACAGGCACGGTTGTTGTACCAATGTGACTTTGCATTTGACTGTTTTAATTTCTTGCAGAGGAGAAACTGCACTGGAGAGGAGGGGGGAAGGCAACCCGCACATGGTAGCACTGACCGACCGTTATCAGGAAGACAAGGCGTAGTTGCCATGGTATCAGAATGGAGGTATAACGTAGTAATCTAAATGAAGGCCACACTTACCAGATGGGGACATGTACTCGGCATTAGCCCTGCAAACCACCCGGATTGGCAGATTGCACATTTGCAAAAAGGCCTGGAAACAAAGAGTCACATTTAAAAAGCATTAATACGCCAGTGACAAATAAATGTGTTCTCAATACATCTGACTGTTTCAGCTAGTTCCTAGCCCATGCTTATGAAGTACAGCTCCTTGCATACTGCTTTTAGGAAGAAAGAAGGGTAGGTAAAAAAAAAAAAAGGGGGGTTTTCACTTCCTCAGACAACTGCTTTTCATCCAGTCACTGACTGAAATTCTTCTAATGAGGTTTCATCTACTTTTACTGCTTTTTCAAGACAAGCAAAGAAGCAGTATCTGACAGACACGGTTACTGCTGTGGCTATACAAAATTAAGTGACATTTTGCCCCTCCTGAAAATCACAGTACTTGTTCTGGCTAAAGCTAGCTAACCAAGTTCATGTTGCGTAACACAGCAAACACATACAGCACCTTCCCACACTGTATTTACAATAGTTGCCAGAAGTTTTGCTCTCTGATACTGTCAGAGCACTAGTCCACTTTGGGAGAAAGTATTTATTATCTTTATGTGACTCATGGAGAGCATAAGTGATCGATTTACTGTTTCTTTCTATCTGTAACCTTAGATTCAAAGCATTCTCAGTAGGTTACCGATTTTTGTCAGCACCTGCCATCACAAAATCCTTAGTGTGCCTCCATTGAAATAACAAAATACCGAGAAAAATACTTGCAATTTGGACAGAACAAGGCAAATAAGGAAACTCTTAATCTCTGGAGTCTCTCACAACTCAGCTAAATCCTATCACTTGTCTTTGCAATTAGATAGGCCACAATTCCAGATTCCAAAACTATACCTATTTATCCACAGTGGCTTGAGGTGAAAAATCCTACACAAAGGAGGCTACCACCATGAAGAAAAATGCTGCTGTAACACAGCACTTTTCTACATCAGCCTCCTCCCAGCCCTTCAGGTTACAGGATCTGGCAGGAAACTGCACTCTCACAGCTTTAGATGTTCAGACCCTGATCACAGACATCAAAGTAACCTAAACCTTAACCTTGGGATTGCTCACCTCTGCACTAAATGTGACCATAAGGCATGAACTAACACTGGGCATCAGCCTTATGCCTAGCTTTGTGGCTTCTGCAGTATCCATCAAGCAAACAAAAATAACCCAAACAGCCCCTTCTCTCTCCTGCACTCTTCAAATCCTTTATTCCCAAACCCTAACCCAGTCCCAGGAAAAGAAGCCAAAAGCTTTGGTCCAAATCCAAGAACTGCACAGTCCATTATGACATTTGGCTCTTGCAGATTTAGATGATCTAACTGAAATCCAAATCCCAGTTTAAAGCAAGGAACTACGGTCACAAGCTGCTACATAAGACATTGATTATGGCTCACAAGAGCCCGCCTCACAACTGTGAAGCCCCTGCAATATCTACCACAAACCTGGGTTTCTACATCTTCTGATTTCCTCAGCCTAACTCTAACTTAAAGCACTGCTTGGGAGCCGATTACTACACATACACATGCAGATAGAGAGACAGATATCTAAAGACAGGGTACTAGTCATGGGCAACATAAGCCAAATACTACAGGTTCTGCACTAGCAATAAGCTGGTCTCTAGAGTGCGTCGTCCCAACTAGAACCTCTATTACTGTTTAAGGGTACAACTATCACCCAAAGAAAATACAAGGTACTTGCGACATTTGACACCACCCCACTTTCTAAATCTGTGCACTCATCAGAGTCCACCAAAAATTGAGGCTCTTGCTGTTAAGACATTCCAAACTCCATGCAAACAGTAACAATACCCAAAGGACTAATTCTGAAACAGGAATTTCAGTTATTGCTCTGTCTCGGTCCTAGATCTCTGCCTTTATCTGCTGGCTCCACAGGACCTAGCAGTGTCCACGCTGTCCCAGCTACTGTTATATGCGTCATGTCTCCTGCCCAGACTGGGGCTTCATATGCAACTTCTTTGGAAATAGTTAGACAAGAATGCAGAGACTTTGGTTTAGATTAAATAAATGCTCCTATGCCACTGCTGGACATGGTCTAACCCACCAAAAACATACACTCTGACACAACTGAAACACAGACTTAGTTCTTCTGAAAGCTCCACCAGTAGCTAACGACATCATTTCAACACTGCTGTGCTGCAGTGGAATGGATGGCATCAAACAACAGCTCCAGAGAACTTCATCTTTGGGTGGGAGGAGTGGAGTGAACTTCTACCACACTACTTAATCCTTAGCTGTTGAATGTCATCTCAAAAATATGTTAAGTTTCATCTGGTCTAGACTTACCAAATGAATTTCTTTCACAGTAAGGCACTAAATTAACTCTGCAATTCTGCATTGAACTAGAGATTAATTTTGTAACTGCCATGTACTACTCTCACTGCAAGTTCAGAAGAAGTCTGAGCTGCACTGGAGTTAGGGCAACACATGAATAACTGAAAAGCTTGTAAGTGCAAAGACACCTTCAAGCAAAAGGAAGTGTATCAGAGAACTAATTTTACTTTTTCACATCAGCATGTCAAAAATGAGACACGCTGGCACAGAACACTTAGGTTACATGAGTTGCTTCAGCAAATTATTGCCTACTGTACATCTTACATTGGCTCTTACACAGTACAAGGTTTCTACCAAAAACACAGTTTGTGACTGAAACAGTCCTCAGCGCAGAGGCTAAACTATAAATGAAATCTTTTCCATGTAAAGATTTCAGCCAAGTTTCCATCAAAAATCTACATCTGACCGTTCTCTCCCTCCTTCTCCTCAATAAACATCCACAGACCAAGGAATATTGACCTTTATTACATTTGGCAGGGAAATTCTACCTCAGTCTCTGGCCTAGTGCAAAGGGGTTTGAGAATACGTTGCTATTTTGGCATCTCAGAAATGCAAACACACTGGGTCCATGTGCCTTTTCTGCACTTTGGAAAGAAAAGAGGAGAAAGAAGGCTGAACTAGAATTGAGCTCTAATGTGGGAACAAATATTAACTAAATAAAAACATTTGCTACTCTGCATAATAAACTGCAGATTCTAGTAAGCTTAGAAGTAAATCAGTCTACCCTCACTGAGGTTAAAAAATAGGGGGGGGAAAAAAAAAAAAGATTAAAAAGACCCTGAAGTAAACACCAAACCAAAAACCTGAGAAAACTTCCTTGGAATAGTCATCTTAAGTTCTGATGAACGTTTCATAGATGGGAGACCAGGACTGAGCTTGAGAAACTGATTGGTTCTGCGTTCACTGCAGCAGTCCTCCTGCGAGCTTCAGAAACACTGAGCAGTGGAGCTGCCTCTCCAGCAGCCTTAGAAGGCCTGTTCCAGCCACCCCCTTCAGCATCCACACGCCAACACCTATTCTACTTCAGCCTTTGTCTATATTTCACACTGGCTTTAGGATGAGTGGTGAAATAGTAATGAAACACAAAACTAAGAGAAAACAGAACAGTGAAAGAGTTGAAGACAAAATCATTTAATGCCATACAATAAATCTAAAAATAAAAGAATATTAAAAACTGCTATTACATCTTTGAAAAGATGGAAGCCCAGGGAATTAAAAGACCAGTATGTTGCACTGTAATTTGTACCCAAAGCATAACCTATTAAATTTGAAGTGCTCCTTAAATACTGTTCAGCAGGAAAATGAAGGAAAGCTCCACAATATGAGAGAAGTTTAACCCTTACTGATCTACACTGCTGAACTAATCATCACCTTGAGAAGTGGGTCAGTATCCATTTCTTGATTCAGCTTAAACCAATGGTCCACTGGATAACCTTCAAGTTGACTAAAAAATACATGTCAACTGGTAAAAGGAGACAATACTATTCCAAACTATGAGGACTCTGCCTAAGAAATAAGCCTTACATTTTGCATTGCTTTGAGAGTACCTACATTCTTTCATTGATGTAACCAACAGACTTTGGAAATTATTAGTATTAACAATACAGGTGTTTTTGACTTTTCAAGCACAGTGAATGCATTTCATAATTACGGGGATTATGGGGTTTTTTTAGAAAAAGAGATAGGCAAGGATCATGACCAATGCATTCTTATAAATAGCCACTGCCAGAAAACCTCAAGACTGTTTTTCTGATGCATTCAACTAGATAAATTAGATTTTAGAAAAAAATGATGTTAGACAGTAAGTGGCACGAGCTATTACCAAAATAGTTGAAATCGGCACAGATGAAAGAAATCCTACAGAGACAATACAGGACAAAGCAGCAATTTTTGTGAGTCTTTATCTCATTTAATGCTTTAGCCCAGTGATCAAGGGAGGATTTGTTCCCTTTTTGACCACTCATGTAGAATGTCAAGAACCAGCACATTTGGTGTGCAGATGGTATCAGACCGCCATGGCTTCCAACTCTGATAAAAGATGCAGTAGAACACTGATTATTCCAGCACAGAGCATCTAATTTCCCCTTGGGTACCTCACACATATAACTTGAACAGGAAAGTAAACCCTTGCTTTTCTTGTGAGAGAAACCATCAGCAAATGGGAGTGATCTCAGCTCCTCTGAGTGCTTTTGGAGTGAAGGGTGAGAGATGATTGAAGGCTGAAACCACCCCAGTGCAGTTTTGCTGAGATTTATGAAGATATCAACACCCCTTCAAAGACACAGCATCAAAAGCTGAGCAATGCAAAAGATCAAGGGCCCAGGCTTATTCTAGTACATCAGAGATTACTGTTAACATCATAAATTTGGCTGATCAACTTAAAAAGGGACTGAAAGAGGCCAACTGAATTCCAAGTGACACATAAGCTAGTTCATCAAGCTCTTGCGAAAATTCACCTAAAAATGATAAGCAAGGCGGTAACAGTAAAACTAGAAACAGGACACTTAACTGAGCACAGCCTGTCCTGCTTTGCAAAGGTGCTTGCAGTTCCAAAGAACAGCATTAAATGTCCCGTTCTTTTCTCCTCTGGAAAAAAGAAATGTACTAGCACAGAATGAACAGCGTGACTATTGTAGAGCAGAACCTGGATCTCCTCCAGCACCTAGGATTCTTATGCAATAATACTATAGCAGTTGCAGTTCTTCAAAATATGGAAAAAAAAAAATAGCTCTCATGTCTCTAGTAAAACTGGAACACGTTACTTCATGTAGTTTTCCAGTCCAAAGTAATTGTAAAGATGTTTGCTGAAAATGTTTATTGATACTTTGAAAAGAATTCCTCCAAACAAACGCTAAGCAGGGAAAGTAGAACTGAATTCCTGCTGGAGCAAATAAACTTTTTTTTCATGCTTAACACCTGCCCAAAGAGCTAACCAGTTGGATGAATTCATAAAGGAGAGGGATTAACATTCTTATTTCCCCCTGCCCATGTTACAGAAGATCAAGAGATGACTGTCTATTAGACTTCACACAAATAAAGGAAACTTCATTCAAGCATAAATATACAGCATTCACTACAACTGAAGGACATCAAACCAAAACGCTCAGCCTTTTAAAAGGAATGAGTAATTTCATGGCTCATACTAGCTAATGCAGCATAAAACAAGGGTAATGAAATCTCAGATTGGGAAGAACCGACTTTATTCCCCTGACATCAGCAAGAGTGCCTCCTTTATCCATATGTTCCACTGATTGATTATTTGCATTTCTGTAATTATAGAAACACGGGCCTGATTTCTTGTGCAGTATCCGCATTGGTCAATGACTGAAGCAGATGCGTGGAAAACTGTCCAGTTTAGTAACTTATGTTGAATATAGTATCTGCTACAAATACTTTTTTCCAAGTTATTTCTGGAACAAAGCGTGCCCTTTCTTTGGATGAGGTTAACATGTGAAACAGATAAAGGCATTAAAAAATAAAGATTTGGATTAATAGGGCCTGTCAGCTTCTCGCCCACGTGTGCTCTCTGCCTCCCTGCCCTGCAGGCTAACAGTCTCCCCTCTCACACTCTTCCAGCCTCTCTACCTGTAGCATCACCTACTCTTCTGGCACCTGGGATGGGAAAGGAGAAATGTGAACAATGCATTTTTAGCAATGCTACTTCTCCTCTTCCAGACTGAAAGTACCAGGTCTACAAAGTTGCTACTGTCTGCGTACCTTGTTTTTAATGGGAGACCTTGCTGTAGATAGGGAGGTGGAAAGTTGCTGCGAGTCCATGAGGAGAAATAGAGGGAGGAAAAAAGGTGCCACCAGATAAATTATGTCTGTCCTTCCCAATATTTACTGTTATAGGCTAGGGAAGAAAGAGTGTGGGAGTGAGGACAATGAATAGAAGAAAAAGCATGGAGAAGCCTCTCGGTGCCTTTCCTGCCCTGCTGCACATTGATTTGCAGAGGGCAAGGTTTGCATTGCACTGCCTTCTCCTCCCAGAGAGTAGCATGAGCCGCTCTGTTTTCAAAGTCAGCTCGGAACAAGCCAGTTCATATTTTTGCTGTGAGAGAATGAAGCAGCAGCATCTATGTGAAAAGGGCTCATAGGAAGCTTTGAGGTGACACCTGTTACAAAATTAATCAACAATCTTATGCCTATCATTCATTTCAATCATGGCAGGTGACACCTCCTGCCAGAATTATGGAGTACATTTACAACAGCAGCATTGCTTAAAGGACACGGTCAACTTAAGGCTTGTTTTGTTTTCTCACAGCCTGCCCAATTTCAAATTCAAAATGTAGGTAGTATGTTGGATTTCAATTATCTGAAAATATAATCAGAGCAATCACCTTTGTGTTGCTTTAGCGCAGTTCAAAAGTCCAGAGCCCAGAAACCACAGCCAGTCACAAGGCGACTCAGCCCACCCTCCCCTTCCTCCTCTTCTTACGCGACTGCCATTCTCCTCTCCGCTGCCGCCGCCGCCCTCAAAGCAATGCAAGAAAGGGATGCCATTGTGTCTTCCTATGATGACAAGGATGGAAAATGACTGTGCATGAAATACAATGGGAAGGAGTAAGAGAAAGGAGGGAGGTGTTTTGTATTTATTCCTGTAGGTAATTGGTTTAGGTGCCATTTTTACTCGCTCTCCCTTCCTCTTTGCCCTGCGAAGCTAAGAAAGGGCTGTTTGGACACTGACAGCTGGAAACATAACACATATCAGGCTGTGAATCACCCTGTCAGAGCTCCATCACAACCCTCTCCTCTTCCCCTCCAGTCCCCTCTCAGAATAATACGTATGAGCAAACACATATACTCATTAAAAATGAGTTACAACTTAATGTAAATCATATCCAGATTGCAGTTTCTGAGATCAGAGGCAAGAATGAAATTACTTATGCCGAGACTCAAACAGTTCACAACTTACATCCCCACATGAGGAACACTATTTTCAGATGGCACACTCCAGGCTTCATTTGAAGAAGATATATTCATGATTAGATTTTAATAAAGAACAAGCCATTCCAAGCCATCTCTTATTCAGCAGCACTTCTAAAAGCACTCACACAATACTGTTGTGAAGAAAGAGTGAAAGGAGTTCTCTGTTTTCATTTTTAGATTATTTCATAAGCATACAAAGGACAATATGTGATGACAACTAAAGAGTTATTCTCTACTTTATTGCAGAAACACATCTTAAAATTAAAAACCATGAACAAATCTACAGAATAATGCAGTTTTCATATCAAACAGCTGCAGACTCTGTAACTAAAATAGTGTGTCTAAGGTTATAAATGAAAACTGTTCAGTATCATTCTTTGAGTGACAGATTAAATTCCTAATCCAGTTATGGTAATGGCCACATTTGTAGTTTAACATAAATTAAGAACTTAATTATATTTGTGACTATTTTAAACAAAATTACAAATTCCTTTGTACCTGTGAACGTAATTTATAGCAAAGCCACGTTCATTCTCCAAAACAATCTATTTTATACTGCAGCACAACACTACTCTAATGGTATAATGTAATTCTTGTAGAATGTGGAAAGAGTAGATTCACTGGTAGCACAGAGGTTTTGAAGATAAATGAAGATGCTATTCATTCAGGGGTAATTTCATCTTAGAACTATATGAAAGATGTTTCACTCACAAACAGTACCTGTATGGCTTGGGATTTAAGCATGTTTTCAGCTACAACGCAATGCTGCTAGATTGATTATGTTGATACCGCATTTCTCATCATGAAGAATTCCAGCTTTTATTCTCTTTAAAAAAAAAGAGACTGTCAGATTTTCATTTCAGTACTAAGGCTTTGTTCAAGCCTCAGCAACAAGTTCAAATTTCTGCTAATGTTTTGTCTAGAGAAAAACCAAACCACAAATCATATACACACAGACAAAAAAAATCACAAATCTGTCGAGGGCAATTAATCACGCGTGATTTACACATTCATTTGATTACTTGTTGAAGTAAATAAGCAGTTGGTCTGTGTAACACAATTTTAAATTGCCCAAACATCCTTCTGTCACTCAGGACTAAGAACAGACAATTCTAAATGCACTTTCCTGGAATATATTAAGACCATTTACAAGGACATCAACTGCACAAGCAATTAATACATAACATAATGAGCTGCAGGCTCTATAACCTCAGGATAGCTAGGAGAATTTCCACAATCCTGAACACTTTAGACAGCCTTTTAAGCAAGGCTCTGAGACTACCTGCATAAAGATTTCAGAAGAACCTGTAATAACAGAGGCAGCCTCAACAACCACATTCCTCCGCCTGACAAGTTGGAACAGTGCACAGAGATGCTCCTGCTGCCATTTGAGGCAAGAGGCCTGGCACAGCGCAGCTCTATTAACCCCCTCCCTCCTTCTCAGCCACACGACTTCCAGCTAGGCACTGAACAAAAAGCTTTACCTGTACTGGGCATCAACAGGGAGACGGGGCCTGGACAGGCTCTCTGCTTCAGACTGAAATATACTCCCCTACAGTAATTCAGTTTTAATCCATCTAAAACTCTGTTTTCCCCTCCTTGAAGTTGTGGAGTTGTTTTGTTATTGAAATACAGCTGTGTATTCGCTTCTTGGGTTTGGTGGCTTTTTTACTATGATAAGACTGATCAGCAGGAATGCTCTATAATGGAAGCTGTACAATAAATAAGAGGAGAATGGTCTTAACCGTGAATCATGTTACCCAGGAGGTGTATGTGTTTTCATTAACTTTAATGGGAAGAGGGCTGAACATCTCACAAGAAGAACAGCACCTTCATTCTACATACGTTCTCTTTCCTGTAGCTGGATAATCATTACCGATCAGTATTCTCCCTTGATTTTAATTCATTTGCAGTGAAAATAAAACTTCATTCAATATCAAGATTTTGCCGCCTAAGATCAAACAGGCTTCACTTTCAACAGGACTGCATAATACACTACTTCAAGTTAACAAACAAGGAGTGCAAACACCAAAATGTACCAGAGATAATGCACTAGCTCATTTGAAGTTATGTTGCATTTTCAGCAAATATAAAGAATCTGAATGCAATAAAGGCTAAGGAATTATTAATTTAATCTGTTTCCAAGAACAATGGGCAGAAGAGGAGTTAAAAAACAAACAACAACAACAAAAAAATAACCCCTACCAGGATCTGCAGAGAGGTTCCACAAGGTAAGAGGGATTTTTTTTTTTTTGGTTGGCTTGGTTGTTTTTTAACTACTGAAGATACCACCACAGTCACTTGGCAACTCCCAGAAGAGTCTATCCTCCACTCTCTTATCAGACATGTAGCTATAGTCAGGAGTCCAGATTTCATTGCACAGAAAGAAGTCAAAAATCCAATCATTATTAAAATAGCAAGGCTCAACCAACTTCCTACGTTCATTCTGCAGCCCTCAATACTCATTAATTCAAACAAAACACTTGCAGCAGTCTGCTACACCTACACTGAGAGTAACTTGCTCTGCTGTCTGTTTGACCTGCTCTGTTGACAAGAGGTACACGAAATGCCATCCATATTGCAGGGTCATCAATTTTAAAAGTCAACTTTTACTCTAATTACTTACCATGGCAGTGGATTTTATTCTTTATTTTATATGTAGCTATCTGAATATATGTCCTCTGAGAGCTATCCCAGAGCAGCATTCTGAAGAGGTGCTGCAAGATTGAGAAAAATCTGAAAGACCAGTTGCAGCACATTTAGTCTTGTTGTGAACCACGTACCTTAAAGATTTGACAGTGGTTGACTCCACACGCTCTTTTAATCACAGGGACTCAAAATTCTGATGTGTTTTCACCACATGGAAGTTCAACAAGCCATGAACAAGCTATGTATCTGCTCTGGTGATATTCACATGCCCCAAATCAGTAATGGGGAATTGCAATAGTAGAAAAAAAGTCCCAGGTACCAGATCCTATTTCTCCTCCTAATCCCCATTCCCATTTTTTCCTCAGCAAAAGAACACACCTCACCCTCAACACACACACACCCCCCAAAAAAATACACACCAGCAAAAAGATAAACAGGCTCTCATCAGAATAGAAAGATAAAAAGTACATTTTAAAACAGAGGAACTCAGCAATTTCCATATGCAAAACACACTGGTATATTTAAAGTTTTCTGATCGCTAAGCTACATAGCTACAGATCATAGTATAATTTCAAAATGGACCAAAGACACCGAGGGTAGCTATTCTTTTGCAGTCACAACCATGTTACACAGATTCTTCAAAATAGATATGATTCCCCAATACAAAATTGTTCTATAAAGTTTAAGATCTGATATCTACCAGAGCTGTATTTATAGTCATGGCTACTATCAGCTGTCCAGCTAGAGAATATTGAAGAAAAACAAACATTTTTAATATATTATAGTTAATTTATCATCTAAGTGACATGTGTAGGATAACAATGGACTGAAAACAGTAAAGCACAATGATGCATTAGAAAAGGAAATTTTAGGGTTATGTTGTTGTTTCTCTTTTTTTGTGTGTTTTAAATACAAGCCACACCTATACATATTGTTAGATGGTAAGAAAATTCATGAGAACCACAAAAAATACAATTGCTGGAGTAAAAAGGAACACCAAGATCAAGTGAGCAACACAAACACTTATTTGCATTATTGTGAGGCACAATACAAAACACACTGCGTAAACAAACACTGCCCCATTTATTTGGTGTATCAAAGATGACAACTCTTTCCAGCAAAGGATAAAAGTATCTTCTTACTGTGACAGAATTTACTCTTAGAGGCATTTCCAGACTGGAAGGAAAAAAGTTAGAGATCCTGAAAGTAGTTACCATGATCAAACGACCCTAACCTGTTTACCGGTAACATCAGTTAGAGTCTCCAAGTGTCCCACTTTGGCTAAATGAGATGTGATCTTTTTGGATAACCTTCAAAGACTGCTTGCTCTAGCTGCTCTGAGCTAGACCACACACAAAAAGCAAGTGGCAGAGGATGAATGCAACTCCCTACTTACACAAAATAACAGCAAAGTTGCTCTGAAGAACAGGAACCTTACAGACATCCTGCTCACCACCACTTCTGACAGCCAGGCCCTCTCTACTAATGGGGAAAACATCCCCTTGAGATTTGGGGTTACTGAACTTAACAGGTTAATGGAGTTTACGCGGACTTCACAGCCACAGAGGTGCTTTTAAGTCAATTAGAGATGCAAGTTTGTCAATTATATGGACTATTTCTAAAAACCACATTGGATCCCAACTCTGTAAACACAATGAAATTGAGAAACCTATCAGAGACATACAGAAATTTGACGCCTACAGCATGAAACAAATATGCCTCAAGTTTCGGGCAGTATTAGCTTTGAGAATTAAATAACCAGCAAGCATCATGCAAGATGTTACAAGACAAACTAGCATACCAAGTGATAAAAGATGGGAACCATACACAGTTCCCAGAGTAGGTAGACAAACAGATACTGTACATAGACCAACATAAACACAAGTACAAGCAGCAGCACTCTGTATAGGATTCTCAAAATCCTTGTGTCCTTCAGGCTCTGGCACTTCAGTGACAATGTAAAGCATGTAAGATGCAGGAAATCAGTCATTGATTTTGACAGAAATAATTATTAATTTAGCTAAATACAGTTACTTTAGCTAGATAATCATTCAAAAAAAAATAAAATGGAATTAACATCTTTAGTTTAGAAAAGATGACATTTTACCTGAACAGCAAGGGAAGATGCATTATCAGAAAGCAAAATTTGTTCCTCTGTTGAAAGAAAAAAACAAAAAACACAATTACAAAAAACAGTGCCCATTTAGCTACTGACCTGTAACTGTAAGCCATTCTGGGTTGCATTTCTTAGACATAAAACAAGAAGCACATGTATAATTATTATGCAGCTGGACTAGAAAACCTGTGATACGAATACTAAAAAAAGAGGAAAAAAAAAGAATACCAGGAATATTTCTCCTGCAAATGCAATTGCATTTATCATACATTACCACCAATGCACAATAAAAAATGCTCACAACTAAAAACCAAATGCTTGAGTTTTATGCCAATTACTCTTCTTCTAATCAAAGTTAAATAAAACCGCATCTTCATAACTCCTCTGGCTAAAAAGTAAAAGCATTCAGAAACCTATAAAAGCAGCTTGCAGTTAATATTGCACACTGTGTCTAGGTCTGTCACACAAAAGAAAGATGACAAGTTCACTGCAATAAAAATTCCATGCTTAGAAGACTAGGGCTGCTACCTATTAGTCTTCATTACTTTGCAGTCTTCTGACAACTGTAGCAGGCTGCTGAGCCCCAAATGGGGGCCATAATGTGATCTGATGATATATGAAGAGCTGCTAAAGGGAGCCTGAACCATCCTAGCCTATACATTTTAACAGTTCCTTTTTACTGAGAGCCCACTTTACCACAAGACTTCAAAAATCTGCTGCCTCAGCTATTGGTGCAGTAAATCTGCCAACTGTGCCTGCAACCACATCATTTTACACTGCCTACAGCAGCCAATATAATGAGTCAATAATAAACCAAGGACCTTATAGGCCATGAATAGCTGGTTTATATTGGCAGATGCAAGCGTAGCTAAAACCTCTGACCAGACAAACAACACAAAGGACTCTTTTAACAGCTTCTGTGCTTCCTTGCAGTTAATTATCTTAGTGCATATTTAATGTGTTTTCTAAAAATAAAGTAATCATTAATTGCAAAAACTAGTGTACCCACCCTTCAGTTGCTGATACAATGCAGCATTTTCAGGCCAAGGCTCTGCGGCTGTGGAAAGAAGAGGAATTAATTAAGCAAGCCAAACAACAATGCGCTTGCAGATGCTAACTGAACACAAACATTACCTAGATCAGGAACTCAAACTGCAAAGATGCTGATGCAAGATTTAATCTGCCCTAAAAACATCCCACTGTCACTCTCTTCTCCCATATGTCTATCCTGTTCACAGAGGGACAACACAGAGCAGAAAACTAAGTCCCAAAACTCAATGTTGCTGGAAAATCTAAAATCCAAGCTATGTTACAGAATGGCTTTGTAATTCTCAGGCAGCTAAAGCAGCTATTTTCCCTCTACCATAAAGACATCCTTGTGCACATTCCCATCACAACTCTGGCGACTCTCAAGAGCAACTATTTATCAAGGTATTAAACAAAGAATTCTGGAAAGAACAGGACAAGACACAGGAGAGAGGCACAAACCTCCAAACCCAGTGTGAGGAACGCTTTGGGGAAACGGAAGAGCTTTCTGCCTTTTAAAGTTGTGTCCTCACTGGTCCTGTATAATACCCACGAAGCCAAGTGCTTGGGCATTGTCAAACCAACCCACCAGGATGACTGGGACTACCTATTGCTTTAAATGATGTACTGATCAACCCTAAAATGGGAATATCAATATGCATTAAAAAACTGCATCATCATTTCTGCTGAACTGTTGAACAAAACAGTTGAACAATTGTTAAAAAAAAAAAAAGCAAGGAAAAAAAAGACAATCACATCTTCCAGTTGAGAACTGTTGTATTTAATCAATCATACACCACTTGAATTTATAGAAAGGCAAAAATAATAATCAGTAGTGATTTACTGTTAATGGCAGCATTAAGATAACAACAGATCATCACATTGTTTTGTCTCCATTACATTCCTTGTTAATGTCTGATTAAAAATCTACTTTTAAATAACAATTCAAACCCTGTGTTCTACCCAAACTAGCTATTTGTAAACAAAACTAATGCTCTAATCCCACAAATTATTTTTTTAAAAGCAATAATGTCTATAAATAACTATGTGTGTTTCCAACAAAAATATGCCACTGGTTTCAGTAGGGTCGTTCTTTGTGTCTTCACTCTCAGAACACAAAGAAAAAAAAAAAGCACAATTTTCTAACTATTATTCTTTTTGGATACTCATGAAATATTAACTTTTATGGAAGTCACATAGAACTGTAAAGCTTATAACACTGTACACAGTTTTGCAAAGGTCACTGCCTCTAACATTAAGACACAAAGCTATACTAGTACGGGCATGAAAAAGCAACTAATCACATTTAAGTGTCATGAAAAAATGTTTTATGTTTTATTGTAGCAGTTATTGGTTTTACACCCCTCCATTAAAGTTTTGCCCTGGAGTAAAAATTCTTGAGGTGGAAGTACATTTACTACTTTAAATAAAAAGAGACTAAGATAGTATCTGTGGTACTACAGCCTTAACTGTTTAAAAGAATTTATCTAACATACATTTCTTCAGGTCCACTGAAGTCTTGCAAGAGCAAATGGAATGAGGAAATTAAGAATGTTATTA